TGTAATAAGTGGTTAAAATATAAATTAAAAGTTTTTTTATAGTTATTTAACCTGTATCACCATGCGACATTAGGTACACGAATATACGATTTTTAGGATTACTTTTGACCACTTTCTTTCCCTGTTTAACTAACTCAGAATCACCGCTAAGTAGACCAAATAGGTTCTGGACAAATTAGATATTTAAATTATAATTATTATAAATCAATGCGTTTCTAGACCTTGGTGGTGACATCATTTCCGGTATAGTCTTTAGGAACCCCTTCGTAAACATTAGTACCGTTAAGAGCGTTGATTATAACCCCAGGGGTTGGGTTAAGTGGATCGTAGGCTATATCGTCCAAATGCATGACTATTATGTGGTCATCGGGTATACCCTGCGAGTGAACCAATTGGTACGCCTGGTATACATCCGACTATCATCAGGGTATAAATGATATTAATTTTGAACATTAGAGAGAGAGAGAGAGAGAGAGAGAGAGAGAGAGAGAGAGAGTTACCTGCACAGCATAATTAATCCAGCCACCCGACCCTGCTACCAATACAACCCAAATGTTATCCGAGTCACCAGTGTCAAAATTGTTTCCAAATGGTACCGCATTAACTTTAAAATAAATTAATGATAAAATAAATAGCACTTTCATTTTAATAGCTTTTATAGTTATTAAATTAATTAATTATAAAAATTAAACTACAAATAAGTTTATTTTGTCATTATTACTGAAATGTAGATCTATTTATACATTTGTTTAAGCGCTTCAGCTTGATTATCATTAATGTACAGTTCTAATTGACCTTGTACAGTATTTCACCATTGTTATGTCATTTGACAGAGCACTCATGCACTTATGTTTGATTATTTTCATGAGTAATGTTTTTTATCTTGCTTAAATTAATTTAAATACCATATATATAAATACTATAAAAACAAATTAAAAATATTAATATGATAAATGTTGAAAGATTGCTTCATTAATGTTCACTATCTATAATGAAATGAGTATTCAATTAATACACTTTTAAACGGATATACCATACAATAGATACTGTTTATTGTATTTATTAATTAAAATCGGATTATGTTTATAAGTAAATGAAAAGAATTTCATTAAGAAATACTATTATTTGAAATTATTGAATTTTAACAATGCTGCTATATTTAATTAGTTATTAGTAGGATCTCCAGAAAAGTGGAAATAAAAGTGGGTATTATAAAGACGGCCACTTGTATATCTGTGATTAATACAAAACTTATTCACTATTTTAATCTATATTAATTTTTAAAAATATTAGCCCTTTATAATAATTTTATATGAATATTCAACTGATAAAACACACAAACTTATATTTTTTTGATCTATAAATACATTATGATTAATAAAATATACTGAATTTTGAGTCATCAACGAATTCCAATAAAATTATAATAAATAGTCATACAATTTTATCAAATGAGTATTTATATAAACAAATAATCATATAAAATTATTATAAAGTATTAATATTTTTGAGAATTAAAAATTGATTAAAATAGTGAATAAGTTTTGTATTAATCACATTGATACAAGTGGCCGTCTAAATATCCAGTACTTATAGTAGGTATTATAAATACCTACTTTTATTTCCACTTTTCTGGAGATCCTAGTTATAAGTTATATAAAATTACAACAAATTTATTAATTAATTTTAATAACAAAATTATTAAATTTTGAGATACATTTTAAATTACAATGACACATTATTAACGACTATATTATAGGAGGTTTAAGCTGGGGGTGGGGTTTGATTTAATCCTCGATACAATCATTATTACATTTTTTATCACAATCATTTACACATTGATCCGCATTATCTTGATCATAAGCATCATTGCTAGGGCTGCCACACGTCCTCCAATTGGAGGATTGTCCTCCAATGGGCCCCTCAAAAAACAGTCCTCCCGAGGGTCTCAGGAGGACAATGTAATGTCCTCCCAGAGATATTTGCCAAAATAATGCAAATATTAATTTAATTCTTAGTTAAATTTGTAAATATATTTAATATTACTTTTGATGTGAATATAAAATATTTATTTAAACTGTAAAATCATTGTTCGGATGGGGTTGTCTATGATTTGACCTACATTGATTTGACCTACAATTTTGCCCATGATAATTAATAATATAAATCATAGTTAAAATCTAATTAATAGAAAGAGTATTTAGAATATTGTACTGTATATCTAACTGGTATATTAAAATAAATCTACATTTTACATTTAGAAATGCACTTGTTACAACAAATACAAATGCCAATGGTCACAATTATACATATGAATGCTAGCCCTATGTTACACGACCAGTATATGAATAAATATAAAGTAGGGTTACAGTAGTCAATAGACTCGGTGTTTTCAAACTCTGGAAAGCGAGCCAAATAGACCAGGGTTATCACTGTATTAACAATAGAAATTTTAAATCAATGAGAAAAATATTTTTAATATTAATATGATCTGGACGTACATCCGATTCCAGTACATGCGCTGATTATCTTAAATATCCAGACAATGACTTCAATGATTGCAGAAAATACCTTGGACTTAATATCACCGGTGATTTTACTTTTGCCTGAATGCCAGTTAAATATACCGAAAATACCGTTCACTATCATTAATATAGGAATTGCCGGCACTTTTGGACAGTCGTACAAATAGATTGAACCTTAAGATTAATTTTTCAAAAAAGTTATTAAAGGGTAACTAGTTTTTAAATAAAATACAATATATTTATTAGTTTATAATAAAGCATTATATTATTTACCAAATGTGATGAACACTATTTGAAAGCCAATAGCGAAGCATATGATTGCACACAAACACACTGTTTGACATAAATATGATAAATAAATAGTTATATTATTTAATAAACATAATTTTAATATATATAAATTATGTGTTTTTACCAGATACATAAACCCATTTGCCACTCCAACACAAAATGTCTGTAAACTTAGCCTTTTTAATAGGTTTTGCAGTATTTTCGCTATTATTGTCATTTTCTGGACTATCATTATCTATGGGTTTCAATGGCAGTGATTCCATACTAATAGTGTCGGCCGTATCGTAGGTCTGGTCACCGGTTTTGTCATCATTTTCATCATTCATTTTAATATTGGTTTCATTGTTAGTCATTTCGTTACTCATTTTGAATTTAATGTTAATTTTTTGTTAACATAATTTTTTAAATAAAACTTTTTAAGTGAAAATAACTAAATTTAGAAACAATTTTAGAAAATTTTGTTTTGTAAATGGCAGTTTAAAAATACTATTTATTCATAATAGCTGATAAAACATTTTATTATATAATAACAATGCATTAGTATTTTTATATTTTATCTCTTTGTCGCACCAGTATTTATCTCATTAGTGAGTCATTATATAAATAAAATATATCTTTATACTTATATTACAAGTTAATAAAATTGATTACATTAATACTATGAGAAAATATTAAAAATATTAACTATAAGACCACACTAAATAAAATTATTAAATCCAATTATATTGCTATTAATTTTTAATTAGGATTATAAAAATGTATTACAAATCTTCAGTTAATCCTTACACTATAATTTTAATACTGTGTGAGACATCAGATAATTAGTATGAATTGTGTGAATCACCATGGTAAGAAATAACTCTTTACTCGCTCGAGATTATCACAGGTTTTGATGGCATAGGCTGTGACACCGATGGCGCTACCGATGAGTATCAGACAGGCTATGGCTACGAAAACCCCGTATTTGCCAATTAGGACTCGATTATGAGACACACTGCCAGTAGCCTGAGGGTCATATGGTCTAGATAAATCTATTGAGTATTCACAAAAATTATAAACATCGACAAATAATTTATATTTAAACTTGATTTGATTGATTACTAACGCATAATAACGATAATATAAAGACACATCAGATTAAATCCGGCCACAGCTATAGTTCCGATCGGAAGGTTTTCCATGTTTGGACAGCGATGTAGAAATACTGCACCTGGTCATTTCAAATAATATAAGCACTTTATAGTGTAATTGAATGCTTAACAAACAGTACTGTAAGGCATAGAATCTATGCCATAGATTACATATCCTGATGAGTCATATAATAAGTGACAAACTAGTATTGGGTGAAAAAAATATTAGTAAGTCGTACCCACGACTTAATGATACAGGGGTTGATAATTTGAAAATATAACACTATCGCTTATAAGTTGCGGGTTGGGAGTAGGGAATCCTATGTATGAAAGTGTATCCTTAGTTTGTACTTGGGAACTTTACCATAGATGTAAATTTTACAAAAATTTTACAATTAGTAATGCCACGGGTATATTACTATAAAATGTTATACATCAAATAACCCACTTATATACACATTCAGTACATGTGTTGTAAGATATTTATTTTGTAATATATAAAATAACAATATCAAATTAAACATTACCTGTAATAATGCACGCGATTTGTAGCATGCATATCGCCAACACGGTACCTGGTACAAACGTAATTTAATATAATAATAAATTTATATTTCTTAATATTAGTATAAATTTAAATTACTTATGGATAATATTTTAATAAATAAATAGATGGTTTGATTTCCATATAAACGATTACCATGATCATTCTCAGGAATTAATAATGGCTCCGATTCACCATTCATTGCTAATTAAACTCTAACTAAATGCAAAAGCAAATGAAAATCATTAACTAACTTAAACTGAGACTATAGCGGTCTATCACTATATTTATAAATTATCTTTTGCCCAGGGTAATTTATTGTAGATCATTATTCATAAGTTTAATATTATAAAGACATTGTTGAAGATAGGGACAAGTATTTCACTGATTTAAGTGGTTCCCATCATTACAATCGACGGATCTTTTATACTATACATATCACGAGACAATATTTCGTAAATGAGTTATTTATTGGACACGACTGCTATTGTCTCCAAAATATGATTATGTGAAAATGACATTTTATTGACTTTAATTATATGATAATGTTTATTTTAATGGAAAACGTTTACCGTAATAAATTATTAGGTTTCCCAAAAAGTTTTGCGAGTTAAAATTTGCAGCTTAAAAATTAAATTTTCAACAACTAATATAGGTATTAAAAATATTTTTGAAGCTAAAATTATTATATCCAATTATATTGCTATTAATTTTTAATGTAGATCATAATAATTTATTAATAATCATTAGTTAATTATCATATTTAATCCAAAGCAATATGTTTAACAACTAACTTATTGTAATGCATAAAATGATATTATAAATTTATCAACACTATTAGTTATCATATAAAATGAATATATAGTAATTATAATTAGGATTTGTAAATAACATATACATAACATATTTAATTCATAGCATTTTATTTCAAAACAATTACAATATTTAGAGCTGAATATTTTTTAAAACTTTATTTTTTAAACAAATACTTTTATAATTTAGTGTCTTTTGTAAACTTTTTTTAAACTTTGAAATAAGTTTATTAATTAGTAATTAATAATTACATCAAATAATGGATATATTTTTTAAAAATGCCTGGCTTATTCAACCTCCGGTTACTTTCTATTAGGACCAGTTGTTACGCTTGTCATACCCTTCCAGGACTTCCAGAGTTGTTGGGCATTAGCACCGGTATCGCAGCCGCAAAATGCGGCGATTGTGAGGAGACATCCGTTCCCTTTACCGCAAACTCCTTGTCATCATATCTCTCGATACCAGCCTTTTGTGCTACAAAACCAGTCATATAGAGGTCGTTTAGTCGCAGCACCGGTACTACTGAGACACTGGTGGCTAAAACATACAGTTGTGGTATGATATCAGTAGACATGACATACCCGACACCACTAACATAGGGCGGGAATTTATCATTAGTGTATATGTCCAATAGGGCATATACCATCTACTGCGGATTTCTAAAAGGCATGTCTTTGGGGTTAGAGATATAGTGACCACTGATTCCCGATTTAAACTCCTTTTTGGTGATCCTTTTGCTCAGTCTTTCAGTGTTAACCACAATCAGGTCGTCCGCTTTGATGACATAGTCGTTGACTAAACACTCCTTTGAGATCCAATTTAACAAAGAAATTGATTTAAGCGTCAGATTATAGATATCGTCGACAAAAGCAAACTGAAGAATATCTCCGTATTTCTCGGATTCATTGAGTATTTCCTTTTGAACGCCGGGATCATTAGGCTGTGCCAACACGAAAGTCGTGCGGATTTTGTGTTTGAGGCGACCCTCTGAAGCCCAGGTATCTCTGATAGCGGCTCTCCTGTCGTAGTATTTGCCTGAAGTGGTGGCGCCCGAGTGTATGAAGATTTGCGTCCAATTGTCGGAACACTTGTGCTTCGGTTGTATCAGTGGTTCATCGGTTGTCAGCAATAACTCAGACAATGAGTGTTCGTGTGGTAGACCTGCCGGCCATCCAAACGCGGGAACAGTAGTTGTGATTATAATCACAAAAGCAATGCAAAGAAGTGGTGATAATGTGAAAGACATGACAACCAAATGAATGCAAATCACTGAAAGTTTGTTTGAATCAATAAATTATATAAAATTCTTTGACTTATTATTTAATTCATAACGAATTTATGAATTCACGAGACTTTATATCAGCAGTTATTTATACAACAAGTAAATCAAAATCCAAAGCAATATGCTTAACAAATAACTTATTGTAAGGCATAAAATGATATATCGATACTAGTATTTATCATATAAAATGAATATACTGTACAGTAATTATAATTATGATTTGTAAATTGTTTAAAAAATTGAATTTAACAAATATATTTAATTCATAGTATTTCACTTCAAAGCAAATATTTAGAGCACAATATTTTAAAGTTTAATTATTTAAACAAATGCTTTTATCATTTAGTGGCTTTTGTGAACTTTTATTAACATTGAAATAACTTTTCATAGAAAGTGACTGTTATTAGCAAAGTGATCAGTTTACAAGTAAAGTGGACAATACCAAATAAAAAATTTCCACTTTTAAATCAAATAATATTTAGTAATTTGTAATTGTAAACAATTTTTTAAAAAATAAAAAGCTATTTTTCATAAAATTATTTTTTTTGTTTATCTTATTATGAATAATTCAATTGAATTTCAATGTACTGGATGATCTGATAATGTTGGCTTTGTGTTGAGTCACAAAAGAGTGTTTATTTATAAAGTGGTAAATATGATGAAATACAAACCGCTAATGATTGATAAAGGTTATTTCAATGAATGTGGCAATGTCCAATACTACTATCAACGGTAGACTGTTGCGTTTATAGTAAGTCATTTTATTTTGTACAGGATAAATATAAATATCATAATGTTTATACTATTCAGTTTTTATTAATTTTAATAAAAAGCTTATATTAATAAATAAATTTGAGAAATTATTTCTGTGAACCTCTTATACGCCTTTTGATACGCCATTTGTCATATAAACCAATTAATATGATAATGGCATTAATGTAAATGATCACCTCAATTGTCCAGGATATAAACATATGGAGAGTCGGGTGACAATATTCATGCGAATAGGGGTCCGTATAATTGGGTTTAGACCAAAACACCAGTCCTATCACTATATTTAAATAGGTACTTGTTATTTAATATTGACAATTTAATTATTAATGACATACATGTTAGATTAAGTACCACGAGGATTATATTCCTGACGCATATGAATACTTTGTATGACCTAGTAGGATTTCTAAATTTGCAGTACAAATCAAAACAATCAAAACAAAACAAATTTAAAGCTCCATTTATGATCATTAATATTGGGATTGCCGGTGCATTAGGACAGTCGTTTACATAGATTGAGCCTGTATGTTTTAAATATACTCATTTCAGATTACATTGATCAATTTAATCTGGGTTAATATGTTTTAATTACTATACCAATAGTTATAAAAACCGGTTGCAAACCAAGCAAAACGCGTACGAAAATGAGTCTCAGTTTAGTCTCGACAACTATTTGTAAACAATTATTTTTAAATCATATTAATTATTGAATATTTAGTATAGTACTAATTACAGTTAGTTATTTATTTTTATATTTTTTAAACGTACCTGGTTCACCAGTGT